TCACAGAAGGTTGTTTAATGGTGACAGTACATATCCTTTGGAAGTAGGGCTCTGTTGAGTTTGGTGAGCTCTTTACAAATAGTATACTTAAGAAAAACATCACGTAAAATACAAGTTCCTCCCCCCCATGTCCTCTTTGCCTTCCTTCCATAAACTACCCTTGCACTCTCTTCTCTGAATCCCTGTGGTTCACTGAGAACTCGGTTTCTCTTCCTCTGCTTTATCCTGGTCCAGCTGGGTTTCATCAACCAGGGCAGGGCCAAACCTTTCTTATTTCTTAATGTCGCTTACCACTGGGCATAGTGTTAGGTGCATGACCGGCTTATTTTTTTAATTTCCTTTTACTAGGAGGATAAATTTGATGTGGAGATGTGATTATTGCAGATATGGCAACCTGTATTGACAACTAACTGTGTGTGTTGTGCTAGGAAGCCATTGGAAGGCAGGTCTGACTGTACTGCACTAGCATTTTGTAAGTAGGGAGGCATTTATATGTCTTAGTAGTGTTAGTCGAATGCAACGGGGAGCTGGTTCATTTTCTAAGCTTCTGAATACCTGCTGAAAAAAACTTACTGTGATAATAAAGAAACTGGGATATGAGATTAACCAAACATTCTTTCTGTGTTTTCAGAATTCAGAGAATTCTCACATTATTTTAATCCAAAGAAGCCAGCAAAAGGAGCTGATCAATCTGCAGTATTGTACTCAAAATAGCTTAGAAAATATTAGAATTGTTTATATTTGTAGGGTTTTCCATAATTCTTGGTTTTACAGATATTTTGCTATGTGTGGATAGCAAGTGGTATCTAGCAATGTTCCTGAAGAATTAACCAACAAGTTTCATTCACAGCAGAAAGCAAGTGAAGAAGACATTAATATTGAGTATACATAGAACATAACGTACAGGGATCTTTAATTCATAGGTGAACACAGATGGAAGCACCCTGTTGAACATGGCATTGTTTTTAGAAAACAATTTCAGTATCATATTATTAAGTTCACACATAGGTGCAGAGCTTCTGCTCAGTTCTCTGGGACCCACCCACCAGATTACAATGCATTTCTAAGTAAAATATATATGTGTATGTATTTGTACACACACACACAGTATTTTGCTGTGTACAATGTGCACCCATGGTTTAGTGCTAATTCCCATGTATAATTCATGCTATACATGGGAATTAGTAATACCTATGTATATTATGCATCCTTATTTTTCCCTCAAAAATTTGGGCAAAAAAAATGTGCACGTTATACACAGCAAAATATATGCTATAAAAAGAGTTGATATGGATAAGGTCAGCTAAGATGAGGTATCCTCCCCATTCACTGAGATGGCTTAATTATATATTTTTTATTAGTAGAAAGAGTCTCCTATTTGAAAAAAGTTTAATAATTTCTGATTAAGCATATCTGAGAAATACCTCCACATTCATATTTAATGCATTTCTAAGAGGATTTCATGCCTGTTCTCCCAGTGTAAGGTTCTATTCTGTAGGATTTGTACCAGAGATAATAATAGGATTAGTTTGCATTGTATTTTAAAAATTCATCAAAGCATTTTCACATCTGTTTTCTCCTTTGATCCTTTCTACAGTCCTGTAAGATGGGTTAAGTGTGTGTTCTAATCCCTTTTGACAAAAGAGGAAATTGAGGCGCTGAGGGGTTAGGTGATTTGTTACAGGGCATGCTGTAAGTAAGTAACAGACTTAGAAGTCAGGTACTGTGCCACCCAGATTTAGTGTTTTTGAGCATAATGCAGAGTTATGTACCCCTAGATTCAGGTGCAAAGCAAAATCCAACAAGGAGCCCTGTAAAATACTAATGCTGGAACCCTGTACTTGGAGACTCCAATTCAGATCAGATGCAAGGCCCAAAGAATCTATTTTTAATAGAACACATATGGGACTTCGAGTGTTGTTAACCAATGTGGTTGGGAATTCACTCATCCATTTTTCCCATGTCGTTCCCCGTGAATTTTACCTTCATGTATTTTGCCTGTTTTCTTAATACGTTATTGGAGTGTTTCAAATTTATTAGTCATTCCTCAGTGGATTCCTGGAGTCAACTCTATTGTCATTTCCTTATTCTGGCATAGAAAAAAAAAACTATTCTAATCCAAAGTTTAAAAAATTCAAAAATTCAAAAAGCTGTTTCTTACAACAAAATAAGAACCATGTCTTGAAGATAATTGGTAAATGGATAATAAACATAGGAGATACTTAATATGGCTCACAAATAAATGCAGATGAAAGAAATGAGATACTATTTTTATTCTAAACTTTATAAAAGGCAGAAAAATTTTATGTGATATATGTGAGAATGAAGGGAAATGGACACATTTATGTAACATTCAGAAGGCAAGTTATGGGTCCAATGCCTTTGGTGGTCAAGATTGGCACTATTTCTCAAAAGCAAAAATGGATGTTTTCTTTTATCTAGTAGTAATACCTCTCAACTACACATAGATTTGTGCAACAAGGATGTTTAAGAATATACATCACAACATTGTTTGTAATAGAAATAAATGGAGGAAATCTAAACACCTCTTGCTAGGCAACTAATTAAATAAATCATGACACGCTAGTAAAAGAAATTATGCATTCATGAAAAATAATCAATACTTATATGCTTGTATGGAATGATCTTTAAGGTACATTAGAGCTGTCAAATCTTAGTTAAAAGTAAACAGCGTATATATTATGTTCCCATTTGAGTATAAAAATGTATATAAAGGTATAAAAAGGTATATAACAGTATATATGTCTCTGCTTGTGTGGGCAGAGACTGTGAGGATGAAGAAGTTATTAACTGTCATGCATTTGGGAAGGAAAAGTGGAAGTTCGAGATGGAAATAAAATTAAATTAACTTTATATACTTTGAACCACTTAAGTATCTTGCAGTGTGTATTTTTTAATAATACTCAATAGACTATTAAAAATCATTTTGATGCTTAAAATAACTGGCAAATAAAATGAACTATAAGTGGTAAAATAAATCTCTCCAGTTTTCCTTAGATATTTTATTATTGTTTCAATCTTTCATTATGGTTTCAATTATATACAGCTGATGTAACAATCCCATTCATATTTTAAAAAATATTACATGTACTTTGATGATGATTCTATCATTTTTATTTGAAAACTAATTACAAGTTTGGAAAACATCATTTAGCAATTTCAGTCCATAGCTCTCTAGTTGATTCATATCAGTCAGGAGATTCTGACTGAAGAATAGTGTTTTCAAAATTAGAGACTTTCAGAACAATAAAAGGCCTTGGGTATTTTTTTGGAGATAGAGAAAATTGAGACCATGTAGATTTGTTTCTCTTATATCAGTACATTCACATGGCAAAATTTAAGATTAAGTTAAAGTAAAATTTAATATCAATCAATATATTGAGAGTCAAAGAACATAATTGTTCAAACCAGCTTTTGGTTAGCTGGCTGTCCATACATGGCCAAGTCTCCTTTCCTCCCTGGGTTCAAGTTCTTACAACTCTACAATGATTGGTTGAACCCAGTGAAATTGTTTGCACCTATTCCATTTTGATTGAAAATGATTTAAAATATTCATGCACTAACTCTGGACCTACTCTATGTAGACCTGTAAATACCTGTTTTCCAAAATTTCTGGATCTGTGTAAATGTTCCCATTCTTCAAAGTCAAGCCATGTTAAATCAAATTAAAATTTGTTTAGGCAATTATCCCGAAAAGAATATTTTAGTAGTTCTTATAAACCCTTTGCTGGGTGAAGGATTCACACCTTTGCCTTACAGTTCAAATACAGTGCAAGTTCATGTGAATCTTCCTTTCTTTGGTCATTTATCTTACAAATTGTCCGAATCACAGTATGTTCTTGTGTTGTTGTTTCATTATTTAGCATGGCTTGTTCCACAACGAGCGTCTAAATTTTCTATTTCCCGTTGCATGAACTTCATTAGCTCCTGTGATTTTAACAACAGATTAAGAATAATAGTGAGTGAAAACAGGCATTTCAGACTGAGAGAAACTTTTGAGATTGTCATTCAGATCTAATATCGAATTTTCAGTTGCCAGAAGAGTGTAGTTCAGGGAGGATGAAACAGGAAAATCTCATACAGCCATGTCTCCAGGTTGAGACACTGGTACATCAGGGAAGGTGATTCTGCCCTCCACAGAGATAGGTGGGGATGGAGGAATGGGTGGAATGTAGAAATAGACCATGACCCCTCTGTTTATGCACCTCAAGGAGACAAACCTAAGAATTCCCAGACCTATAAATGGGTCTGTGATAATCTATGCTAATAACTTCTTTCATTCACAAGAATAATCAAGAAACTAATTTGTTTTCCTATTTTGGAGGAGAAACTTAGTTCTTATAGTTTTCTTTAACATTTTATTTATTTGTTTTTAGAGAGGGGAGGGGAAGGGGAAAGAGAGGGAGAGAAATATCAATGTTTGGTTATCTCTTGCATACCCTTTACCAGGGACCTAGTCTGTAACCCAGGCTTGTGCCCTGACTGGGAATTGAACTGGTGACACTTTGTTTCACAGCCTGCATTCAATCCACTGAGCTACACCAGCCATGGCAGTTCTTAGAGGTTTTAATGTTTGGAGTCTATAAATTTAGATTCCTTTTCCTAAAATTAATTCATTAAATAGAAAACTATCAAAAGTATATTATATATATATGTGTGTGTGTGTGTGTGTATATATATATATATATTCTCCAACATTACATTAGTACATCTGCTTTTTGACATATATCACCAAATCTCTTAAATCTTCTATGATTAAAGCTCAATATTTTCAGCCATTTAAAACATTGTTTTCATAATGGTATATTTAGACCTCATATTGCTTTTCTATATGCAAATCCCACAAATATAATTTTAGAAAATTTTAACCTAAACTCTTAGTCTCATAACTTGTCTGCTTCTGACCTGTTACTTTCTTGGTCGTTATGCGTTGGCTTCTCTTTCTTCAACTGAATCCCAGTTTTGCTCTTTGCCTGCAGGCGGAGTTCACAGCCATGCGGGAGCAGTACATGCGAGGTGGGGAGGGATTCATAGTCTGCTACTCCATCACCGACCGCCAATCATTCCAGGAGGCTGCCAAGTTTAAAGAGCTCATTTTTCAGGTCCGTCACACCTATGAAATTCCCCTGGTGCTGGTGGGTAACAAAATTGACCTGGAACAGTTCCGCCAGGTGAGTGCCAATTTTATCCATTAGCTTCTGTCTTTTCCTCCGAGGAAATGTAGTACCCAGTGTGGCTGCTTTCCAAGGTTCATATGGAGAATTCCAAGAAGTGGTGCATATGTTCTTTTCTAAGAAGTCTTTGAGGTCCTGTGGTATCTGTGCTAGCCACCACAATATGTCCATGTCACATGCAACATGACACTTTGCAATGCCCTTACCACTCCCCCATCAGGAGGCAGAGTCTGTTTCTCCCATCCTCTTGGACCTGGGCTGGTCCTGTGATTGGTTTTGAGCAGTAGAGAGTAGTATAACTTCTAAGGTTAAGTCTTAAGAGTGAAATAGGTTCTGCTTTTGGCACTTGAAAGAAAGACCTGCTATTAGGATCTAGCCACCATGTAAAGAAGACTAAGCCAACTGTTGGAGAGAGCCATGTGTACAAAGTACATCCAGTCTCACAGCTGCCCCTGTCAAGGCACCACACACGTGTGGGCAAAGCGGTTTGCATGTTACAGTACCAACCACTATCTGATTATAAACTCATACGATACCCAGGCCAATCCACATGGAACAGAAAAACCTCCCAGTTGAGCCTGGTCTGGATTTCTGATACACAGAATCCTGAGTAAACAACATGGAATTGTTTAATAAACCCTTTGCTAGGATACATTTGGATTTTTCTATCTAACACATTTTAAGTTCTCTTAAAGTGAAAAGCTAATGTGTATGAATTTATGCTTAGCACAGACATATTCCTATGATTTTATGCAATGCATTTCATGCAAAATCAACGATGACTTTTTTGTGTATATTTTGCTTGGAAGCCTAAGCATCTTAAAGTGGTGGTTGTTTTTTAGGAGCTATAATATTTGTCCCCTCTGCATCTGTCCTTCTGTCTTGCTTTATTGTTCATCCTTCTCCAAAGCAATTTTTAGTGTAATATGGTTACATTACTATGAGATAGAAATTCAAGCTTTCCTCACTAGCTAAATAGGAATCTATTCTCAGACACTTGACAGAAAGAAAGCAGAGGGGTGTAGTCTAGTGCTGAAAACTTCAGATGCTCCTTGGAGAGTGGGCGTGCTTCCCTATTTCTTTAGCACTTCTGGGAGTGGCATGAAGGAGCACCCTGAGATAGAAGTGTCCCATCAGTGATGACAGGACCACCATGATTGCACTTCCAAGAATTCCTAGAGAATATAAACCTTTAATTGGATGTCAGTTAAAAGAGTTATAAGTGAATGAGAAAGCTGGTGAATTTGAGAACATAAGAAAATCTTTAGGCAAAGGGTAATCAGATTCTCTCTAAAATGATCTTCACGATTCCAATGCTGACTGGCATGAACGTTTGCCTCCCTCCCCTGGCCCTGCTCCTGCTTTCCCGGGATCAGTAGTGGTCCTCTGCACGTCCCAGAGGGATATCCAGCAGCGCCTCTATTTCAGCTGGAACTGGATTTCAGCAGTGATGTGAATCACCGGTATCGCAAATGTCCCCAAAACAAGTACACATAACAACATTAAGCTGAGTAATTTTGCAGAGTTGACGGATTTCCTTTTAGATAAAAGCAAGTAAACAAGATACTCACAGAAGGTGCAATAACCATGAAAACTCAAATTACTATCTTTTAAAAAATGTTCATGTACCCAAGTCTCTGATAATGAAATGTTGTTATGCGAATTTGGCTTCTGGCTGTGGTGTTTGTAATGGAAATAATTATTCTTGCAATTGTAGACTGGTTTTCATTTTCAAAATGCTTTCAGTTCACACTTTATTTTAATGCTAGAACTGCCCTGTGTAGTTTTAAGACAAGCATGTGATGGATGATATTTGAGAAGTGAGTGTATTGATAGAAATTGACTTTAAGAAACTATAGCTCTTTGTATCGTAATTAAGACTAGAACCCAGATAATGTGTATTTCTTTTATTACATCAGTATTTAAAGGTTAGGTCTTTCATTTTTTTTTCCATCTAAAAACAAAAACAAAGATGCCAATGCTTCCATTATCTATTGCTCAAAGGCAGTTTGTGAAGTTTCATTCCGAGAGTAACAAGGTTAAATTCTCAAAAGCCTAGAGGGAGTCATGCTGGTGCTTTGATTTAATGCCGGGAGACAGAGAAGTAGGGCCCTCATTGGGCAGCTCTTCTTCCTCCTCGGTCTACATTGAAAGAAGGTGAAAGGAAGCTACTTCTTACCCTATTTGCTTGGTAGAGTAGATAGGGGCTGCTTTCTTAGTGCATTTTGGTGAATCCTTGGTCCCTTTCTACCAGTAAAAGTAAATGAGTTTTTAGTGCCTACTATTTTTATCACCATTTGCTGATTTGAGCTACAGTATTGAAGGGGAGCAATAGTCATGTTGACACCGATGATGTTGATGATGCATTTAGTATTTGAAAAACTCTGTGCTGGGCACTTTCCACACATCATTTTATTTATTCTTCACCATAGCACATGCATAGCCTCCTATATGGTACCTTTATCAACTGACTCCTTAAATACCCAGTGACTTGCTCAAGGCCACACAGCTAGTTAGAGTTGAGAGGCATTATCCAGGGTGCTGTGATTTGAAAGGCTCCCTATGTTATACTGTTGGCTTGCAAACCATTGTTATTTTTCATAAATTAGTTTTAATTTTACCAGCTTTAGAGTCTTAGCATGTTCCTCAGAGAATGGGACATAAGCAGTTGCATTTTATTGGCAAGTTGAAGCAGGAAGGATCAGAATGATAACTCTGGATGTGGAATGAGGAACTCCAAGAACTGGCCAAGCCAGTAATAGCCAGAAGTTGGGGGGAAGAATGTGAGGAAAAGGAAGAGTAAAGACATGAGGTTCAATACTAGTGAAAAGCACTGTTCTAGTCAGGTAAACAATGAATGTGTCCAGCATCCTTCCAGACTATCGTAATATCTTTTTCTGAAGTCCCAGACGATACGAGGTCCCTGAGCTTCCATGGTCTTTGTCCCTACTTATCATGTCTTCTGCAGTGACACTGGGGAGTGGAAGGGCTAATTCCTGTTTTTGTTTTTGCAAAACCCTGACCAACCGTGCAAATGAAAATGGTGCTACGAGTGGAATGAGTTCCAGGGATTTGAGGGGTAGATTAGCGAGGTTTTATATAAGGCGCAGACCACAGACTGTTTTATCCTGAAGATAGACCATGACAATACACTCAGTGCTGACAGTCTAATTGCAGCTTAATACTCAGCTTGAAGCCTTGAAAGTCTGCTTTCCACAGCCTGATTAACTCTTCGAATGCTGATTTAGGATTGTGAAAGACCCTTTGTGTATTCTTCAATGAGATAGCTAAGGAAAATGTTCTGTTACTGTCCTGCAAGGGTCATGTGGAAGCTGTGCAGATTAAGAATCACTATATTAAAAAAAATTACATCTATTTAGATTTATATCAAGTATCTACTTATCTTTGCAGAGAGGTGGTAGCTTTGCAAGGTAAATGAATGAGTAAGCCAGTCTTTGTCCTCAAGGACGTTTCCATTCTCAGAAGAGATCTATACATGTGAAGTACATGGAAAACCATATTAAACAATAAAACTAAATGTTGCACAATAAGGCGTTGTGCATTACATGCAAGTCTTGTTGAGAATTAGAAATGAAAATGTAGGCAGCATTTTTGAGGAACGAAGATGCCAAGTGGAGAAGCATCCTGACCAGGTAGGAAGGATCAGTGAACAATGACAGTGCTTTTAAGAGGGACCAGAAAGAGTAAATCTAAGAGAAAGAAATGAATTGTGGGGCCATGAGTGTGCACAAGGCATGAATGCCGGGGTAAGGGAAAGGCAGGGGACAAGGCCAGCCTGCCCAGTACACATGCATTAAGCATCCTCAGAGTAATTGCATACGCAGGTCAGCCTTGAAGACGTAATCAAACACAAAACATAAATAGGTACAGGAGTGTGTTGCATATACTGCAATACAATAATTAATTGTAAATACTAATCAAATTTTAAAAAAGAAGCACATTAGTCATATTTCATTATCAGTATATTAGATAACCCATATAAACATATTTTCCAAATGATAAGTGTTCACTTTTTTTTTATGGGAAAAGAAAGGTTCGGTAATTTACCCAATATTTCTGGGGATAAACACTCAAAATGCCAATTATGTAGCCCTATTTTTCTTTTCATAAGATTTTATATGCTATTTTGTTTCATTAAAATGCAAAGTTATTCCAATTAAGATGGAAAACAAAGGAAAATGCAGTTTAGAGATTTATGTAATTTATCTAAACTGATGGGTTGTGGAACTAGAATCTGAATCCAAATCAGTTTTCTGACACTTTTTTTGCTAACATTTTTCATTTGATATCGTTACCAAATATTTAATAATTGTTCAATGGGTAGCAGGTACTCTTTTAGAAACCTGGTTGTTAGGAGAGAACGTGGCATAAAACCTCTTTCTGTAAGAACATGAAATTATAGCAGAAGAAACAGATAATGAACAATCTGTGTGTATCCCAACTGCACACTGCAGAAGCTGGGTCTATGAATAACACATACGAATGCATACATACATACATTCATAATACATATGTGTAATATATACAGACACACATATGTGTGAAGAGAAATTATTTCAAACATCTGAGCATGTTGTGGCATGAATGCAATTTGATATCAGGCTAGCTGTTCGGTAAAGCAACGATGGAAGCAGGGAAACGAGTTAGGAGCCTCGGTCTTCAGGATGAGGAATGATCGTAGCTTGGGTGAAAGCAACAGCACTAACTGTTCAGACTCCATAATTACGCAGCACATGGCTGGATGACAGGTGACAAAATGACACCGATATGTGGAAACCTTTCATCAGTGGTACCTGGATCATCATTGCATCATTGCACAATACAGTGGGCATCTATGATGGACTTCTCAAGACATGGTTCAGAAATATATTTAGCAAATATTTTTTAGAAAGTGATAAAGTATATGGTCAAAAGAAGCAGATGGTCCTGGGTCCTAATCTTTAATGAGATGATTTCTGTATTATTGTATAAATCAG